AAAAAGGAGAGAATTGTTAATTCAAACCATTGTTACTATTTTCTAAAGTACCATTATTCTCCAGAAAATGCTTAGGTGATAACAGAAAGCCTTGTGAAACAGGCTGTTAAAGACAGACATAGGAAAGAAAGGCAAAATAGGAGGAAACTTGACTCATGTCAAGCTGTACTTTAGTGTATTACAACACTTTCTGGTACAGAGAAGTTGTAGTATCACACAATTAAGATAGTCCTAAAATTATGCATATTTATGATGGTCTAGTCGCCTTTGATGTGATTTGATTAATCTATGTAAATTATTTATATATTATCATTACAAATAAGACTACAGTATCCTATTTAAAAGATTATGCAAATGCAAATCCTTTGAACTATTTCAGCTGGAATTAAACATCACAGAGGAATTAAATACCTGACTGAGCTGTTGTTGGGATTCTTTAGGTCCTGATGAAGCTTTATCACCCACTCCTGATATTCCTGTTTCTGGATAGCAGTCGTCTGTTTTAATTCATTGGTCCATTTGTTCTCCAAATCCTGACAGGAGAGCAGTGATAATTTGAGTAGTGTGGGTGTTCTTTTTAAGGTGATCATGTGGATGACATATTCTAGTTACCTGCTGAGACTCAAAATGCTGAGCTGCTAAGGAATTCACATCCTGGTCAGTCAGTGACTTCCCAAGCTCCTGCATCACCTTATCCATTTCAGCTCCTTGCCTGAAAGAGAAGCAAACAGATTTCAGAAGACTGGGAGCAGAACACCCTTTGCTATGATGCAATAACAAACTTGATTAATTGTTACTGACAGAATGAACATTCACAGATGTAGCAATGAAAAGCCACAAAACAAACTGGAGTTAAGAGTCACGGATTCAAGTCAGCTTCTGTGTAAACAATACTACTTACCCTCATTTGGGACAATCTCAGCTGCCACCAACATAGGGATGTGATAAATTCCAACAGAAAAATAAATTCCAGCACAGTCAATACACAGCTATGTCATACCTGAACTCTACAACAATACTGCTCTTTCTTCTGTATGCAGGCTTGAGAAGAGGCAATGAGCAGCAAAAAGATTTGCTAACACCTTACTGACAACATTGACCCCAAACTAGAAATACGTACAATTCAGCCCAGAAGAAACCACAGTATGAACTGATTATGCAGTCTAATGTGATTTTAAACACACACAGCTCAAGAGGAATATTGCCACTCAGAATGCTAAACCAGGCCTACTGAAATTACTCTGGCACAAAAAGAAAAATCCACATTCAACATGTTCCCTCTTGTGGATAAAGCAGTCACCTGCAGCTGTGAAAACTTATTCCAGAACTTGGGACTCAAACTCAACACTTTCTGGAAATCAAAACTTATATTCTTCTCAGTCACTGAAAATAACAGAAAGCCACCAAAGTAATAAAAGGTAGCTGACCCTAATGACATCACAGAATCATGGAATGGTTTGGGCTGGAAAGGACATTGATGTTCATTTCATTCCAATCCCTACAATGGGCAGGGGACACCTTCCACTGTCCCAGGCTGCTCAGAGCCCCGTCCAACCTGGCCTTGGACACTTCTAGGGATGAGGCAGCCACAGCTTCTCTGGGCAACCTGTGCCAGGGTCTCACCACACCCTGAGCAAAGAATTTTTTCCTAATATCCAATCTAAATTTCCACTCTTTCAGTTTGAAGCCATTCCCCCTTTCTACATACTCTTGTGCCAGCCAAGTGTTGTATGACTTTGGGTTTACACAGACAAATACAAGCTATACATGTTGTCCTATGAGTTTACAAACACAGTGGCAGGCACTCCTAATTAATAAGGGAGAGGAAAACCTAAATAATAAAAAAAAGTAATACCGTTCACGTAGTTTTTTCAGTTCCACATCCCTTTCACTTATTAATTCTGAGATGCTAACAAAATAATTGTGTTCCAGATTTAACAGCATTTCAGAAGCTGGAGAATGGATCAGATCATGATAAACATCTGCAAAATCTTCATCCCAGCTGGTTTCTTCAGGTTTGGCATGTTCTAATGTTGTCTAAAGAAAATGTAGGAGATTTTAAAAGGTTAAGATACCTCTCAGGACATATAATTATCTCTCATAATGGTGGGGTAAAACCATGAGGGCCCACAAACAGCCTTTAACCATATATAAATTATCTTCCCTTAGTTAAGCTTTCTGCATTCTACTTTAGCTTTCATTTTTCTCCTCTCCCATTCTTTCCTTTTCAAAGCAACTAAAGTCAGAATCATTAAGGCTTGGATTACAGTGAATAGAATTTTCACACAACACCAGCTTGGAAAGAACAGCAATATCCACAATAATATTTGCACCTGATGAATTTTAGATAAGGCCCAAAACACCAACTGTGCAAACAAAGGTGCTCTGCTAGTAAGGATGACTCACCTCTGATGTCACTAAAAATTTGAACAGCAACACTGATTTAAGAAAAGCTATTTTTATTGAACAAAAAATGGCCCAAGAAAGCTGGTTTTGCAAGCTTTATATGGAATTTTTCACATTTTTCTATATTTCATGAGAAGTAAATTCAATTCCTATAAACTTTTCCTCAAATACTGCAGGTTTGTAATTTTTTCTCTTCACTAGGACTCCTGCAGTTCTTTTGCACTCCACTACTTTTAAGACTCCATTTGAAACTGGAGACATTATTCCAACTAAAGCCTCATCCTTTCTAAATAATGTGAAACAGACATATGAACTCAAAAAATGAACTGAAAAGTCTCTCTCAATTGTACACTTTCTCCTTCTAGCCTTAATTGCTGTTACTGAGATTTAGGATAGGAGTGTCATTACCTCTTGCTTTAATTCTAAGCCTCTATAAGCCTTATACCTATTTTTTGTTTGAGTATCAACTGTTAAATGAACAAACGTTTTGCCTCTCCATTGTCTATCTTTTTACTCTATTAAATTCAAGAAAAACCTGACTAAGAACTTGTAGAATGAAGACTTGATGCTTACTTTCAGCTACAAAAAAACCTGCAAGAATTGCAGTAAGTTTTAGTGTAATATTTCATCCTCACAACTGTGATTGCATACACACATACTCTCACAAAGCAAGCCTTGAATATTAACTTTCCAGCCTTAACCTTACCTCTTTATAAGCTTTAGCCCAAGTATCTGCCAGCTGGTTGATGTCTACTTTTCCTGATTTCACTGCTTCCAGAGCCACTTCAGCTTCTCTGTCATAATCCTTTATAGTCTCCTCTTCTACAAATTTACTAAGAGATTGCTTCAGGTCTATTACAACAAGAAGAGAACAGTTCATCAACAGAACACATCAGTAACCACCCAGGAAACCTGTAAGCAAAGTTTTTCACCTGAAAACCTTTTCCTTGCTAGCACTGATAGCAATTTTCTCTGATGTTTTGCTGTTCAAAAACCAATTTTGTAAATACTGTTCCAGTAAAACACCCTTCTTTTGGTGTCTTAGAACAAGCTGTAAGGCACTTGTGGACAAGGATACATGCGATTAATTTAAGAAATTAACTCATACCATTTTCTATAAAGCATGGCAGGTTGTGCAGAGCCATCAGACGTCCATGCAAGTGACTGATATTCTCTTGCACAGGGAATTTGAGAGGCACGGTAAGCACTGAATCTTCATTTCCAGCACTAAATTTGTACACATAGTCTCTCTCTCTAGTAAAAGTCTTTCCTTTATTAGGCTTCATCCTCTCGAGTTTGTTTCCTGCAATAGAAATTAAAGTAACAAGAATTACATTTTTGTAAACTCAGAAGTCAAAAATGGTAATGAAAAGCCATAGCTCTGCTAATAATTAACAGCCAAAAATACTTAACCACCCAAATTTTCATAGTCAGTTGACTTCCAAATACATGCATCAGGAACTGAAACATAAATACCAGTTTCCAAAATATCAAATGCTTCTAAAATGTATTTGAGTGTGTCAATATAAAAATTTGGGTAATCATTCTTAGAACTTACAGCGTAAATCTCCTGACTTAAAAGCAGATCCAGGGCAGATGGGAATCCTGATAAACAGAAAATTAACTGAAACACTCTGACTTCTGTCATGGATGCCTCAAAAGCTGAAATCCTGCAGAGTGCATAGAGATTTTATTTCCTCCTTTCTGCAGGTGCAAGCCCTGGGGAGTGAGGGAGCAGATGTTTACAACGATTTTTAGAAAGAGCTGATTTTGTCTTTCTGTAACCTGTATTAAAAATAAGCCGAAAGAAATGCAAGGGGGCTGTGTACAGAGTGAAAATACATGCTGCGATAGCTGTGCTGGTATTTTTACCCTCCACAGGGCTCCTCTGCTCTGTTTTGAACATCACCTGTAAAGCCGGACACATTGCTTTAGCCGAACCCTCCCCAGGGCCAAAAACCACACCCCGAGGAAAAGAAAAAACAGAATAAAAAATTCTACAGCAAAATTCACGGGTTTAGGGTTTGGTTTTTATTTTTTTTTTGGGTGGGTTTTTCCGTGAACTAACATACGGATTAGACATAGACGAAACAAGTCAATTTCAAAAACAAACATCTCAGAACAACCAATATTGATGGGAGGCGGTGCCCCGGCCTCTCCGGGGGGATTCAAAGGGAAATCCAGGGAAACACAAACCCGACCACGCTCTTTGTGCTCCCCGATACAGCGAGGAGATGGACAGGAAGCTGATGCAGAGGGAGCGGGGAACAAACCCTCTGTTCCAAACAGGACCTCCTGCAATCGCAGGCGCAAAGCCGGCAGGACGCGGCCTGCGGGACCCCGCCCGCCCCCTCCCCGCCGCGGGGAGCTCCCGGTGCCTGCGGGCACTGCCGCTTTCAGCGGAGGGAATGCGGACACCGGGAGCCTCCCGGACGTGCCCAGCCCGTCCCCACTCGGCTCACCTGGCTCCGGGCGGGCAGCCGCAGGTTAAGCGGGCCGCGGGGAAGGAGGAGCCGGCATGTCCCGCCTACCCCGTCCCGTCATCGCAGCTGCGCGTCCGCAGCGGCACATTCGGCGCTGCTCCTGCGGCGGGCGCGCCGAGCGGCACCGGCGGGGATGGCGCGGCCGGCCAGGAGGTGCGTGTGCCGGGGCTGAGGGACGAGGGAGTCTCCCGATCCCCTCGGGGCCTCCGGGGGATTCCAGGGTGGCCTCTTCCCCTTCCGGCGGAGCGGTCGTGATCAGTGGCTCAGGGCCGTGTTGGAGGCCTGGCATTAGTGGTGTCCCGCGGGGCTCTGTCGTAGAATGGTTTGGGTTGGAAGGGACCTTAAAAACCATCCAGGTCAACTCCCTGCTATGAGCAGGGACACCTGCCACTATCCCAGGTTGCTCAGAGCTCCTTCCAGCCTGGCCTTGGACGCTGCCAGGGATCCAGGGGCAGCCACAGCCTCTCTGGGTAACCTTTGCCAGGGCCTCAGCACACCCTCATAGGGAAGAATTTCTTCCTAAGACCCAGTCTAAATCTACTTTCTGTGTCAGTGTGAAGCCATTGCCCCTTGTCCTGTCACTCCAGGCCCTTGTCAAGAGTCTTTCTCCATCTTTCCTGTGGGCTCCCTTCAGGCACTGGAAGGCCACAGTGAGGTCACCCCAAAGCCTTCTCCTCTCCAGGCTGAACAATCCCAGTTGCCTGAGCCTTTCCTCCCAGCAGAGCTGCTCCATCCCTCTGCTCCCTTGGTGTCCCTGCTCTGTCGTGGCTCCAGCAGCTCCCTGTCCTTGCTGTGCTGGCCCAGGGCTGGGTGCAGCCCTGCAGGGGGGTAATACCGGGCCCAGTGTTGTTTAAATTGCTCATCCATGATTTGGATGAAGGGGTCTCCTCAGCAGTTCACAGATGACAAAGCTGGGAGGAGTGAGCAATACCTCAGAGCACTGTGCAGCTGTTCAGAGGGACCTGGACATGTTGCAGAGATGGGCAGAGGAAAAGCATCTAAAATTCAACAAGGGCAAGTGCAGGATTCTGCACCTGAGGAGGAATAGCCCCATGCACCAGCACAGGCTGGGGGTGACCTGCTGGTGAGCAGCTCTGCTGAGAAGGACCTGGGGGTCCTGGTGAACAACAGGCTCTCCATGAGCCAGCAGTGATCTGGGGGACAAGAAGGCCAGTGATGGCCTGGGGTGCACTGGGAAGAGCAGTGCCAGCAGGTCAGGGAGTGATCCTGCCCCTCTGCCCAGCCCTGGGAGGCACATCTGGACAGCTGAGTCCAGTCCTGGGCTCCTTGGGACAGGAGGGACAGGGAGCTCCTGGATTGGGGCCAGCAGAGGCTGCAGAGATGATTCAGGGCCTGGAGCATCTGTGCCAGGGAAAGGCTGAGGGAGCTGGGGCTGTCCAGGCTGGAGAGGAGCCCCAGCTGAGAGGGGCCCTTGGATAGTTCCTTAGATCCTGTCTTCCCACAAAAAGGTTCTTCCCCCAGAGGGTGGTGAAGCACTGGAACAAGGAGTGTTCACGGCCCCAAGGCTGCCAAAGCTCCTGTTGGTACTTAGGGATGCACAGGGTAGGACTGTGCAGGGCCAGGAGCTGGACTGGATGATCCTTGTGGGTTCCTTCCAACTCATGGATAATCCATGATTCTGTCAACCTGACCACTTACTGCTTTTTTTCCTTGAAAAACATGATTTACTCCAGAGTGTTACTGAGTCACAATGCTCAGTCAGAAAGAATTAATAGTGTATATTTTATTTTTTTTTCCACAGGAACAAGAAAGTTGTTGATTATTCTCAGTTTGGGGATTTGGAAGATGATGGTAAGTGGGATGTTCTTGTATATCAAGAATTTGAAATCCTTGCCTCTTATATAAAAGCACATGTAAAAGGGGGTCTGTTGAATATTCATTTTAAATACATTTGAGAATAGTGCAGTTATAGTTGTTGTGTTCTTTTAAAATAGGATTAATTTCCAGAAAAGGTTATCTTGATATATTTTCAGTGTGCAATGAAAATTATCAAATTTAAGAATATAGGAAAACTCATGAGAACTTGTTGCTGTTTTCCAACAGATGAAGACTTTGCACCTTCAAGCAAAAAATCCAGAACACAGCTCAAGGAATCGAAGAAGGAGAAAAAAGAGAAGCCAAAAAAACCCAAAGAAGTGACTCCATCACAGACACAGACACTAAGTAAGAGGTAAGAAATGTGGTCAACTCTGTGTAAAACTGGATTTCAGTAAGAATATTTGGATTTGGTTTCTTTTTCCCTAGAGTTTTAAGCAGCTGAGAGCAAACAACTAATGCATGACTGTAATAAAGATTTTGAGCCTTATTGATGCACCTTCAAATAACTCTAAAAGTTCTGAGTTTCTTAGGAACTCCTAAACCAGAGTAATATAAAGACGAGTTTGATACCTTCCAAAGGAACATATTTAAAGGAAGACACAAAGTAAATGTCAATGAAAAAGATCTAATTTTTATTCGTCAGGAGTTGTGTTTAAATATTACATTTTGGTGTGGCATTTCAAGTAAAGGCAATCACTTTTTTTTCCTGTAGTAATGCCAATTAGTAGTTCATATATATATATATATATATGTATGCATGTATGTATATATATGCACACAAACACTGTTTTACAACCATAATGCTTGAAAGTATAGTGTGCTTTAAAAGTTAGCATGTGTTTTGTCTAAATAATTTCGAAAATTAATGTTTAACACAATATGTTATAAATATATATTGAAATATTAATCTCTTCACAAGTATCTGAATTTTAGAGTCCACTGAGCCAGAAATATTTCTATAACACTCATGTAGTTGTTTTATTATTTAACATGTTGGCATTTTTCTCCAGGTTATCCTTGGATGACAAACTTTATAAAAGAGATTTGGAAGTTGCCTTAGCCTTGTCTGTCAAAGAAAAATCTGCAGATCCCCAAGAGGTGCAAAATTCAGAAGAGAAAGGTTACTTTACAGTTCCATGCAACACTTCTTATTTATATGTTGTGAATTTGAACAGGGCAATTTATTTTACACAGAAATAGATTGAAAATCATATTTTATTTTGAGATGTCATAATAAGAGAGAGTTTCTAGGTATTGCCTGTTTTCTTATGTTCTTGAGTTTTTTCTGTGAGAGAAGTAACTCCTCTATAAGATCTTCCAAGTATATACTTGGATTAGGGACAGATAAAAACTTCAGCTATTTTAATTTCTTAATATTTTTACTTTTTATAATGTGTTTTTGTATAGTAATATTTAATATTTTTAATTTTTTCCCTGGATCTCAAAACAGGTAAGAATATTGAATCAGAAAATACACAGAGGAGACCTCCTTTTTCCAACTGCAGTGTGGATGGTGAACTTTTGGGTAAGTTGTTCTCACAGTCTTTTCACAAAAAGCATTTAAGTAGGCTATCTCTTCTTTGTTTCCATTGGTTTCTTTTTTGTTGTTGATGTGGAAAAGAGTCTTTCTCTTAAATAAAGGCCGAATAATGTATCTATTCTTTCATTAAAAATTTGTTCCCAGTCTTAAAATGAGCAAACCTGTGGATTGATGAATTTTTGATCTTCTTTTTGTTTGCCTGATTACATATAAATGTTGATAAATTTGACAATGAGAAAATAAAATAAGAAGCACATGAAAACAAGTGTCAGTGATATGTTTCTGAATAGTATGACTTCATATCTCCAAAATGAATTCTGGGAACTCAAATACCAAATTATTTTAGGGGAAGAGAATAGATTGACTGTGAATTTGAGCTGATTGAAGCTCTTTCTGTTTTGTAGGCCTCAATCAGGTTATGAATGATAACACACCTGAGGGTGATGAGAGGCAAAGGACAGCAGCAACCAAAGTTCCAGCACATCACAAGTCAGAGGTGGTTGTCAGTGATGACAGAGCCCAGGATCCTGACTCTGAGCCAGAGTCTCTACCCAGTAAGTTTTTCTCCACCAAAATCCTCTCCTTAAATGTGCTTTGAATGTGATGCCTTACATTTAGTTTGGATTTGTAGTGAAATTCATGCTGCTTTGGCTGTATTTTCCCTTACTCCCCCCTTACTGAAGCATTATCCCCTCATTTTTGTGACATCTCATTTGCACTTTCACACTAAATGTACACACTGGAGCTTATTCACTCCCAAACCAGCAAAATGTCACTGCTTCTCTGCATTTGTATCAGGAGAAATTCCTTCTGCCCTCCTTGTTCAGGAAAGTTTCATCTCTTTAAAGATCCTCTGTTCATTTTTCCAGTTGTTTTTTGGGGTTTGTGTCAAAACAGGGACTCTGGAGTAGTATCAGGTATTGGAGTTTTCATTATTTGCTTTGTTTAAGCTGATTTTAAAAAGCAAGTAGCCTCCCTTCTTTCCTTCCTGTGACTGTCATCTTTTGGAAGAGCAAGCTGCATCCACGTCTCTGTCATTCCCTAACAGGGAATGTGTCTGTGTAAATATTTACTGCTTCAAGGTGGGACAGTCTAGTACCATCCTCTTTATTTCTGCTCTGCAGTGATCTGCCATCTTAAGTGATGATTTCTCTGCTAAAGAGAATCTTTCTAAAGTAATTTCTTTTTCCATCCCAGCATCACCTATAGTTTCTCCTTCCTGGATAACAGAGCACAACTCTGAGCCAAGGCAGAAGGTGATGTCCAGTCCCTCAGAAGCAGCTGGGAGGCCTCTGCATGCATCAAGTCCTGTTACAGACAAAAAGCCTAAATGGACACCACCAGGTATGGGTGAGGCTGCAGCTTAGAAACATACATGAGTTGACTTAAGCTTTTAGCAATCTCTCCTAAAAGCAAACAAAAAAATAAACTATTCCGGGAAAATGCCTGCCC